GCTACCGATATAGTTACATTTTTAAGTAATTATTGTAAAAATACTGGCGCAAAGCGATTGGAGAACTTTTGGTTATGAGCTCAAAATGCCCTAAGGATTTTTTTGCAGGTGTCATTTAGTAGTCCCTCAATAAGTGGAGCGAAACTTAACGATACAGGCTTCAGCCTATGGCCTACTATAGACGTCTTTGGCAGCCAATGAGTTAAGGCAATTTAGAATTTTGAACCCAAATGTGATATTAGTAGAACATGGGCACATCACAATTATTGGGGTGATGATTTGCTTATTTTTCGCACTTTTTCTGCCCCGTTTGCACACTTGAGCCGTTTTCAATTCATAATCATTCCACTCGTTACTGTGTGGCTCCACAATTGTGACTCCAGGTCATAGTAGTAGAATAAATCGTGTGTCAGCACCGACTCTCAAACGTACACAAAGGACAGTCTGAGCAGAGCCCGAACATTTGACCTCTCAAAATAGCCAGGGGGGAGTCATGTGACCTGGAAACTATTCCTAGTAATGTCCTTTTCATAGACTGACGACATGTACTGCGAATAGTGTCTTTGAAAGAGTAGATGATTCATTTTCGGCCGTGGAGCTGTAAATGAGTTTTCCACTCTTATGTCAGCGGCGCCCGGCACAAACAAGGTTGCCCCCCCCCCCCCCCTTTGCGTTTGCAGAAAGTCAACGGATCCCCGTTCATGACCAACGACGCGGGCTTCGCCTTGGCCTATGCCGTCATAATGCTCAACACAGACCAGCACAACCACAACGTGCGCAAGCAGAACATCCCCATGACCGTGGAGGTAAGCCCCCCCCCACGACCCGTTTCACTCTCCTTTTGGGGTCAGATGGGTACCAGGATGTGTGTGCAGGTTCCATAGACAAGGTACTGTGGGCAGTAGTTACATCTAAGGATGGGGATGGTTAATATTTATTGATATCGATACCTTTATGGATACTCCTCATCGATCCGAGTCTTTATCTATACCACTATCCATACTTTTCTGTTATTTGGTGGAAAGACGATGCAACAATATTTGGCAAATAAATAATTGTATTTTAAATTAAATGTAATTTTTGATAAATGTTGGCATCAGTAGTTTAATTATATATTCTAAAATAATTAGAGCAATATACAACTGTATTACTCATGTTTCTCGCCAAAAACTCAGTGTCCCTTTTCTTTACGTTACACTTGAACGCATCACGATAACCTAATTGTCTTTTTACTGAGCCAACCTGAACACATCATCACGCAGCACGTCTGAAACTTTAACAACTTTTCAAGCTAACTAGCTTGTATGCTGCCGATTACAACACGGATTTCACAATTACTATTTTTAACTGACCGGACAAGCTACAAAGTCTGTGTGTGCGCTTAACAGTGATTTATTTATGTATTTATTTACGTTGTTTATGGTCATTAACAAGACGTTAGCCTTGCTAGCTGCGGCTAATGGCTAATAATAACACGCTACCATTAGTCAAGCACATATCTAACTCCGCCCACATCCAAGTCGGCCATTTTGATTAGGTCACCAATAGGAAGATCCCAGGCAAGAAAATCGTAATTGCTTCATGGCAATATAGACATTAATTTAAAAATATTTAAGTGGATTTTTCAAACACTTAATTAAACTCTATACATATTATGTTAAATAGTGTATATTAAATAGGTTTGTACAATAAGTCCAAACAAGTTTAACCCAAAAATATTTATTTCTCACAATTATAAAGGCTGGAGGGTTAGGGTTAGGATTAGGGTTAGGGTTAGGGTCATTAATGTGGGCCACCAGTAACATCAGTAACAGGTCAGTTTGAAATGAAAGACACAATTCAGTTAAATTTGGGGTCTTTGTTTTTATCCTTGTGGTATCGAAAATGGTATGGAGTATCGAGTATTTTCCTATCTATCGGTATCCAGTTGAAAATGTTAGTATCGTGACAACCCTATATGAGAGAGCATGGCGGTCGTTTCACATGCAAAATCCTTCTGCTGAGTCAGCGTTATTTGCGCTAGAGATCCGTTCGAATGCTTTGAAGAAATGCGAACGGTGTTGAGATTCCTGCGGATGTGTGGGCATTAGCGGCCAAAGGCGGGGGGGCAGGGGGAGGGGCCACTCCATGCCTCTGTTTTCCCTCCCTTTGACTGACAGCAGCTGAAGACTAAACATCGTCTCAGGGGAAGCCAGTGAGTAGTCTGTGGGTGGCCACAGACAGCCTGATCCTGTCCATCTTCCTGATGTCAGGCCGTGCCTCGTTTTACGTTTATGTTTAGGTTTATGTTTAGGTTTATGCATTTGGCAGACGCTTTTATCCAAAGCGACTTACAGAGTGGACCCAATATTCCATTTCTCATCACTATGACAATAAGCTATTTAGAGGAGAAACCCTGATCAGAATCAGTGGTGAGATAGAGATAGAGGTAGAGGGAAACCTAACAATATTTCTTTACTTATATCACTAAGATTACTTGACATACTATAACTAATTTGATCATTCCCAGGAGTAGATTTACTGGAATTTTTCAATGCTTTATTTAATTCTAACAAAGAAAACTTCACGTTAATAAACTCCTCACAAACATCATTATGGACCAATTCAATATCCCCAGTGGAGTTCAATGAACAGAGGGTTGACGTGAGATTTTTTGGGCTGATATGATGCCAGCGTTACGGTCTCCGAGTGTTTTGTAAATTTTTGGAAAAACTGCACCTGCTGTTCTGCCTGGCTTTTCAAAGCGACCTACTTGATCTTGCGAAGTTTAGTGCCTTTTGGAAATTCCTGTTCAATGTTAGGGTGGAGTGAGCTGAAGTGACGCGGAAGATTTGAAGCTTTGAAATGCGCTAATGCTGCGTCACATATAAGATAAGATAAGATAAGATAAGAGCTTTATTTATCTCACAGTGGAGAAATTCACTGGTCACACATCGGTTAGAGTTCAAAAGGAGGAAAAGGTGCATAAAGTACAGCAAAAGCAAACAAATATACAAGGAAGCAACACAGCGCACAGATTTGAGTGACTAAAATATATACAATCATTGATGGCTCACACACAGTGCACATATTACACAGGTCAATAAATATAACACAATTGCACAGCAGTTGTTAAAGTGCAGCATTGTATAAGGCAGATCGGCATGCCATTACGTTTAACCAAAAAATATAAACTCTCCCACTCTCCCGCAAAAACGTCCTGTGTTCTTCTTCATATTTTCGTTCGGCTGTGCTTTTTTCCCCCCGCCATTTCAAAAGGGAACTCGACAGAAATTGTTTACAACACAAATGATGTAATTTGTGCCTCTCTCTCTCTCTCACCCCCAACCGGCCGAGGCAGATGCCCCCCCACCCTGAGCCATGGTTCTGCTCCAGGTTTTTGCCTGTTAAAGGAAGTTTTTTCTTGCCTGTGTCGCCTAGTGCTTGCTCATGGTGGGAATTGTTGGGTTTCTGTAATTAACTTCAGAGTAGGTCTGACCTGCTCTGTTTGGAAAGCTGTGAGACAACTGTTGTTGTGATGTGGCGCTATAGAAATAAAATTGAATTGAATTGATTTAATTTTAATTTTGTAATGTCATTGTCTGAACGTGTGTTTGGACTGATTTTGTATTTTGTGATTTTGTGTTGTTTGGTCTTCCTGGCTCAGGACCACAGATGTAAACTAGCAACTATGCTAGAATCTGGCTCATTTACAATCTGTATGAGATTGTTCATTAATGTGCACTGTCCTGATTAAATAAATAAATAAATAAAGGCGGGTACTAGAGTTTTACAGCTGGCGCTGTCCCCCCTGCAGGAGTTTCTCTGACCTCCGGGCTCAAATGACAGTGGCGGGCTTCCACACAATAGATTTTACAGGCCCAGTAAAAGTGGCGCCCAGCGCTGGACTTACTTAGCGGCTTGCAATGCGACGCACGCCCTGCAGCAAGTGTTGGCAGCGGGGGGGGTTATTTTTGCCACGGGGAAACTTTTCCCCGTGTGTAAATCAGACGGGACGCGTTTGGCGCCAGGTCAGGGGAAGGTCAGTTTTTTGCCCATAAACGAGGGCTTAGAGCCCGGGTGTTTATTTCCCCCCCCCCCCCCCCCTAGAGATGTTCAATAACGAAGTAGAACTACTTAAGTACTGTACTTAAGTACAGAACCTGGATCATCAAACCTCCTAAAACCGTGATGGGGAAAAGTTAAAAAAGAAGAAAATAGTTATCAGAAGCAACAGTATACATGGCTATATTGGATATGTTGCTATATCTGTATTTTTTGTATTTTTATTTATTCATTTGTATTTTTTTTTTTTGCTTAATTTAATTCTAACTTGATACTTTTTGCCCTTTAAGCTGCTGGTAACCTTAATTTCCAGAGGGAGTCTTCCCAAGGGATCAATAAAGTACTGTCTAAGTCTAAGTCTAAGTCTAAGGAAAAAGGAGAGAACATGCGTTTTAGCTTCAAATACAACACAGGCAGACATTTTGTTAACAGTGCAGCTTACGTCTTTCAGAATATAAAGGATGAGTTTAGCAATAGCATTTTATATGGAATAAAAGGGAATAAAATGGCAGATAGGATGGCTAAGAAGGAAACTCAGAACTACATGCATTTTACAGTCCATATTAGTAAATCCTAGGTGAGGAGTATCATCAAAGAAAAGTACTTACTACTCAGTACTGTACTTAAGTACCAAAATGCAGTATCTGTACTTTATTGGAGTAGATATTTTCCCCCCTACTTTTCCTTTTACTCCACTACATATTTTTTATTATTTCAATACTTTTACTCCGAGTAGACTAAAGAGTACAATGACATATAAGCTAGTAAATAAGCGCTAGTTCAGTTCTCCCTGTTCACTCAGGACGTAGCAGCTAACGTTAGCTAAAGCTAACCTAGCTGGCTAGCTGTATGATAACGTTAGCTAAAGCTAACCTAGCCGGCTAGCTGTATGATAAAGTTAGCTAAAGCTAATCTAGCTGGCTAGCTGTATGATAATGTTAGCTATAGCTAACATAGCTGGCTAGCTGTATGTTACATGCTAGCATAAAGGCTCAGCTCAGGATTCTGACTCTGGAATAATAAATAATAGTAGATGAAGTGCTGTTGATGCTAATGCAGATGTAGTTTTCTGTTTTTGTAAACACCTGTATGGCCTTTCACACGTTTGAAATAATATAAACAATCTCTATTACATTTTTGACTGCCTTTTTTAAATATAAACAGTACTTGTACTTTTACTTATACTTGTACTTTCGATACTTGAGTAGCAATTTTTGAAATACTTCTACTTGCGATACTTAAGTACCAAAAAAATTGAGTACTTCCGTACTTCCACTTAAGTATGGTGTTGAACGAATACTTCTACTTTTACTCAAGTAATTTTTTTATATAGTATTTTACTTCTACTCCACTCCTCTACTCCAGTACTTTAAAAATCTCTGCTCACGAGCCAGGTGTGGCTCTTTTGATGATTGCATCTGGCTTGCAGATAAAACAAAATATTCTCACTTGTATACAAATACAAGCTACAAAGCTAACCCTTCGACGAAGAAGATGGCGAAAAGAAAAAAAGATGACAAGTATCGTACATTTCAGGACGAACGGACTGGAGAATTCGCCTTTGTGGAGAGAGCAAATTCTGCGGTGCGTTTAATTTGCAATGACAAAATTTAATCGATGAAACGGTCGTCAACATTATTCAAAAGAATAAATTCAGAGGCTTATTATACTGACATTTAGTTGAATTCACTTTTAAAATAGCGGGACAGTTCCTGCACAAAAGTGAGCCTTGAGGCTATCAGTCATCGCCAGGCGGTTGTGTTTATTTACGGGAGCTCCTTGGCTCTAATCCCTGTTTTCCTAACCATGCATCCAAAGCATATTAAGTGACATATAACGAGTGTGTTTCCTTTTAATTGTCGGTTCGACTCTCAGTTGACAAGGCGCTGGATGCCAGATGCTTTAGCGTCTGAGCTAATCTCCCGCGTTTGGACCTATTGATTGATGTGTTGATGGTAGAGATTAAAAATGACGATGTGAGGCTTAGAGGAAACGACCCCCACCTTTTTTCTGCAACATAACGTGCTTTTCTTTTTGTCTCCACACAGCAATTTAAGAAAAATCTAAAAGGTGTGAATGGAAACAAAGACTTTGACCAAGACATGCTGGAGGACATCTACAACGCTATAAAGTGAGCTACAAACATATAACACACAAGTTTTATCATTGTTTTTATCGGCTATATTCTATAAAGGTTCATTTTAAACTGTTAGAAATGACAACGTCTTTCTTTTAAAGTCCAAAGGGATGTCTTAGACAAATGTGATTATCCAAAGAATGAATGGATTTGAATTTACTGGATCGATATACTGGATCTTAGTGAAATAAAGAGAAAAAAAAAGAAAATCATCCAGCTCAGCAACGTAAAACTGAAACTATTAGTGTGTCTTTTGTATGTATAACCCAAGAAATTAATGATTTCTAGATTGTCCAGTTTTCTGGATATTACACAAACCTTTTGTTTCTAAATAAAAAATTGTTTAATCTTTTTAGATATTCAGCTCTGGGATACATAAATACTGGGCTCAGATTCAGTTGATGCATCATCATCATATTTATTAGTTTTTTTATTAATATGAATTATAAATGATAATTTATCATGTAATTATTATCATTATTATTATTAATTATAATTATTATATATATCATATAATTAATATCACCTAAAACATTATATTTTGACTGTTTGAGATGGTTTTGAATGGATTTTGCAGGTTTACCCACTTACAAAGAATGCTTATTTTTCCTCATCAGATGGTTATCAATTTTTATAAATTCATATGATGTGATTTTCTGGAATTTTCTTTGGGATTCTGTCTCTCACTGTTAGAATGTACATATGATTAAAGTTATAGATCGTTGCATTCTTTGTAAGTGGGCAAACCTGCAAAATCAGCAAGGGCTCAAATACTTATTTCCCCCACTGTAAGACAAAAAAATCCCAAGTGTTTGAGAACGCTTGCCTCTTCAGTTAAATGACGATATTAAGCTAGATTGCTATCGGCTGATATTGAGTGTTGGACTGGATGTTTTTATGTGTGTGTAGCAGAGGTGTGACCAAGTCACTGTGTTGCAAGTCTCAAGTAAGTCTCAAGTCTCTGTCCTCAAGTCCGAGTCAAGTCTCAAGTCAGGAAACTTAAATTTCAAGTCATTTCGAGTCGTTCTTATTTTTATTTTTTTTTATAATTCGCAATTATCATCCGATATTCTCTTCTAGCATGTTTTACAAGTTGCAGTTCGTTTTTTAGTCGAAATTTCATAACCTACGTAGCCAAAAGAAATGACTCGCGGAAGCATATTCGAGCGGTTATTTCGTATTTCGTTCCCTGAGCTCTGTAGCTTCGCCGCGTTTTTTTAAACGTCCAAATCCTGTTGATTTTACACATCCTTACATAAGGAGAGAGGAAAAACATAGTGACGGTCTGTGCATATTGATACGGAATGAGTGAAATGAATGAATGACGCCACTTTATAAATAATGTGTTTTCAATTTTAAGACTTTGAGTAAAAAATATCAAGTCTTTTCAAGTAAACGGCTTCAAGTCGAGTCAAGTCCGAAGTCAATGGCATGAAAGTCAAAGTCAAGTCCGAGTCTTTGAGCATTTTTTCAAGTCAAGTCTCAAGTCGTGATTTTAACGACTCGAGTCCAAGTCATGTGACTCGAGTCCAAGTCATGTGACTCGAGTCCAAGTCATGTGACTCGAGTCCAAGTCATGTGACTCGAGTCCCCACCTCTGGTGTGTAGGAATGAGGAGATTGTGATGCCCGATGAGCAGACGGGTTTGGTGAAGGAGAACTACGTGTGGAGCGTGTTGCTTCACCGCGGCGCCACGCCCGAGGGGCTTTTCCTCCACGTGCCCCCCGGGAGCTACGACCACGACCTGTTCTCCATGACCTGGGGCCCCACCATCGCCGCCCTGTCCTACGTCTTCGACAAGAGCCTGGACGAGAACATCATCCAGAAGGCCATCACCGGATTCAGGTGCTCGTTATGCTAACTGTTAGCCTTTAGCTTCTGTGATTGACTCATTGACTGGCAGCCATTTTCAGAACAGAGTCCCATACTGCCAGAGTTTTTTGAGCATTTCGACTGATTTTTCTAGAGCCACAGAATAGTTTGTGCTATGACTATGTAAACACCGAACA